TTTTCTCAAAAAAAAAAAAGGAAAACTCAAAATAACCAAAGTTATGAAAAACCCCAAGAGTTGTCTGAAGGTCTTTGGAATGGGGAACTTTCTCTCGGTCTTCAGGAGATAATACTGCCACGTGCTGCACGTCTCTGGCTGTTTGTTTGTTTCTTCATTAATAAAGATAAGAGTGAGATATGTCACTTGGACAAAATCAGATTTTTTTAAAAAACAATTTTAGAATGAAAAATATCCTTGAAAACCATTTAGTTCCCTGCCCTTGTGTTAAAGATAATGAAATCTACATCCATGGGAGTTAAGCCGCTTGGCCAAGGTCAAACCCCTGGTCAACGGAAGCATCTGGCCACATTTTCAACCCAGGTCATACTGTCTCCAGAGAAACAGATTAGCACAAAAATACTCAGCAAATTAGTAGAGGCATAAAGCTATTTCAAGGACATCCTCATTACTCTAAGAATTCTTGATGTGGGAAGTAGTGTATCATCTTAACATTCCTGGTTATTACTTTGCTGTAAAAGGGACAGAATAAAACAGTGATTTTCAGCCACTTGTCTGTGGTCTAATGCTGTTCCACAGGCTGAAGCAACTTCTAGCATGCAGTAAGAAGGCAATGACCTGATGTGCTAGCAAAATATCTCAATTGAATTTTTTTTTTGGCCACACCCAGTGGTGGCTCGAGGGACCATACGGGATGCTGGAGATCAATCCTGGGTTGGTCATGTGCAAGGCAAGTGGTACTATTGTACTATTGTACTACCATTGTACTATCGCTCCAGCCCCTCAACTGAATTCTTATTCATTTTAAAGGGTATCTCCTTACTGAAGGAAACATTTTTTGAACAAAATAAATATGTGAATAATAAAAAAAAATTCAATTTCACCGGCAACATTATCTGCAATTGGACGGGCTGAAACAAAAGTCCTTATGTGTTAATCTGTGTGAACTCGAGAGGCAGGGCTGAGGATTCTGAAATGAGAAAAGGCGTCAGCAGGGAAGTACTCCTCGGGAAGCTCCAACACTGCCCTCTGGACCTCAAGCTTCCTCCCGGCTGATCAGGGCTGACCCCAGACCCAGTGAGGCGACCCCCGCCCCCCGCAATCCGAGCTTCACACATCTCCCTGGAAATTCTGAAACAGATGCAATGTGACAACCGCCCCCAGCCCGGGAACCCACCTCCTCCATCACCAGATCGAACCAGCATCTTTTTTTTTTCTCTATTGTCTGCACTGGTCTACGGGATCAATAGCCCAAACAAAGGAAGCCCACAAAACTTTTATAACAAGTACTGGACGTAGAGGACAAAGCAGCAAGTCTCTGGTCATAAGACAAGTACAGGAAGGGACTGAGAGGACTCAAGCCTCAACCCACTCTCAAGACGGCAAGTCCCAATTACCACCTGTAAGGGAAAGAACATTCTCACCGGCTATGAAGGACCTAAGTGTCAAGCAGGAGGACAGTCCCCCAAAATGAGAAGTAGTAGTAAGGAAAGGACACAGTTATATTTAACTACTTTGGGGGGGCGAGGGGGGCACTCAAAGGGTGCTCAAGGGAGTGGGGGATTGCAGGATCCCTCCTTTGGATGCTTAGCCAGCGAACACCTGGCAGACTGGTTCAATGCTAGGACCTGAGGCTGTGGTGCTTGGGACCCTGGGGGCCACCCTGTGACGCCAGGGGTCAAACCCAGTCGGGGCCATGCTACACGGATGCCCCAACTGCTGTGCTAACTCCCAGGCCACAGAACAAACAATGTGAAGCAAAGGAAATAGACCTGATCTCCCAACAAGGGCGTCAGCGGCAGGAGCAGGGAGAGCCGCATTCAGGGCTAGTGCCCTCCGGGCTCCTCTGCTGCTCTCGAAAGGAATTCAAATCCATCCACACGAGGAGGAGATGGATTCTGACAAATTTACAAGGGCCTACAGGCGCCCTGAGGACATGACGACAAGCCTGCTCCAAGAGTCATCAGCAACACTTAGCAAAGGTCAGAGAAGGCCCAATGCATAGCTCTCCAGAGCACAGGGCACTCCAATACGGGCCACTGGAGAGAAGAGGAACACGGCGCCACCGTCTCTGTGACAGCCACGCTCTTCTCAGATGCAGCCCCTGTCCAGGGACGATCACCAGCGATGTCGCATCCCAGCCGGCACTCTCCAGTTCTTTACCAGCTCTGTCAGCAGAGGCTGGCACGTGGCTTTATACAACCTGGTTTTTTTGATACAGGACGCAGAACAAAACAAAAACACTTGTCTATTTATTCACCTCCTACTGAGAAGATGTCCAAGCATTTCAGTGTTGCTGTTTGGGGTCTTTAGCCAGGGGTCTCGGGGATCAGCACTGGCGGTGCTCGGACCCCTTTATGCAGCGCTGGAACTGAGGCAGGGACGGGTGTGCGCAAGGCACAGGCCTGGCCCCACGACTATCTCTCCAGTCCAAAGGTGACTAAAGCTTTAAAAATAACTTGAAAGAAGGAACCCAGGAAACCCAACATTGCATCTGCTATAGAGGCATCGGAAAAGTGAGGCTCTGATCCCAGCTGGAGCACATCTAACCGCAAAGATCTGCTAACTCGGTGTCTGCTTTGTGGTGCAGGGCTTTGCAGGATGCAGCATCTGACTTGCCAGAGAGGCTACGGGCTTAACAGACTATTAACTGTGTGTAAATTAACAATCACTGTGAGGCATCTTAGTAAATGTGATCATTAAATCAGAAATTAAAAAACTGAAACCCTCTCATTCGCAACCCACACAGACGTATCTCTCTTCAAGTAACCAAACCCAAGATGTACAGTGCCAGTGTTCTGAGTTCTGAGCGGGGGAGGGAGGGAGGGAAGAGGGAGACAGAATACATCAGGGATTCTAGAACCCCAGTAACTAGAAATGAGCCTGGACCCGGAGTGTAAAAAAGGTAGAGGACCTGTCTGCCTATCTATCTCCCTCTGCTTCTAAAGAGCGCCACAAAGGAAAAGGTACCCACCAGACTTTCAAGGGCCCATTTCTGAACACAGGCCACAGTACAGAAAAGGGGGTGGGTCTGACTGCGATGGAAACTGAGGCGAGGCTGCCACTTAACTGGCTTCTTGAGTTAAAGCCACTTTTGACTGTGACTGATCCTGAAAATTACACCCGAGCACCTGTGGAACAGAGTTTATTTTACACAAGGTTCCTAATCAGAACATTAGTGGGGCACAGGCCAGGCCACTGCACCGTCAAGTGACAGAAAGGGGGAAACCAAGGCACATGAGGAAGTGGCTGATCACCTACAGTGATAGAACACCATTCAGGAATGGACAAGAGTTGTTATTTAACAGCAAGCCTTGGTCATATGGATTCTAATAACATATACCAAACAATTTCTCCATAAAGCAGACATAAAAACTTGGTTACTTCATTCCATTTCTAACTAATAGAAAAACTACTCTGAGGTGGGCTGGAGCGATAGCACAGCAGGTGAGGTGTTTGCCTTGCACACGGCTGACTCGGGTTCAATTCCTCTGTCCCTCTCGGAGAGCCTGGCAAGCTACTGAGAGTATCCTGCATGCACAGCAGAGCCTGGCAAACTTCCCATAGCATATTCAATATGCCAAAAACAGTAACAACAAGTCTCACAATGGAGACCTTACTGGTGTCCGCTTGAGCAAATCAATGAACAACTGGAGGACAGTGCTACAGCGCTACCCTGAGGTCAGACACGTTTCCTGGCCAGAGAGATAGCTCAAGAGGCTGGAGCACTGTGCACTGGAGCTCTGAGTTGAATCCCCCACACTGCAGGGACCCCACACACTGCCAGGAGCAGCCTCTTACGTACCGGGCCAGAAGCGGCCGCTGGCACTGCCAGGTATAGGCCCCAAATTAAACCAAAGAAAGACAAACAAACCCACAGTTTCCCAGAGACTCTCTAGACAGAACTGAATTTATCTATTACGTGACAGATGGCAAGACTCGAAAGTACCCAAAACATCAATATCAAAAATGACAGAACCAAAAATACCACTGCCCAATCTAAATGTGATTCAAGCCAGCATATCGTTAAGAATTACAGTGACACAATGATTTCCACCCAGATAATCCGTGTGCGTTAAGGATCAAAAAGAATACTCTGAAGTTAAGGAAGAAGTTTCACCAAGTACTCACTGTCACGTTACTGGGAAGGTCTAAGGAGTAACAGCAATACTCTTTCCTTCCAGCCTCAGATAGGCTTTTTTGTACATGTGGAGATGGGAGGAGGCGGGATGAGTTAATCTGGCAGTACTCAGGGGCTACTCCTGACTAAGTGCTCGGGTTGGAACCCAAGGCTCCCACAGGCAAAGTCTGTGCTCCAGTCCACTGAATTCTCTTCAAACTTCCTAGCAGCCTTTTAACTGATACAAAAAACGTTTTATAATTACCCAATGAGAAGCTTGAGCACTGAGATCACTGAGATCACTAACATAATAGCAAAGCTTTTCTGATTAAACTGCATCCTAGATTGAGACACAACAGTCCATTTTTAGATTATACAGTGACTTCGGAAGGATCCGACCTGCACTTATGACTGTGACTATGGATTCATTCGTATCTCACCACCTGGTATGTAGTCTTTGTTCTCCAAACAGAAGTGGGCACAGGCCAACAGAACCCGAGTCACATGACCTTTCCCTTATCCCCATTGCAAGCCTCAGTTTAAAGTGTGTCCTGATGTGGACTGTACACATACAGCTACTAATTCAGTACAATTTTATTTTACTTTATTTTTGGGTGGCACTCTGGGAACCATGTGGGATGCCAGGAATCAAACCTGGGTGGGCTTTGTACAAGGCAAGTGTCTTATCCATTGTACTATCTCTTTGGCCCTAAGCTCAGCACAATTTTAGGACTAGGATATATTCAATGACATTAAAGATTAGAATAAAGATTAAATAAACTTTATTTACTGGTTTGGAAAAGAGTGTTTTCTTACTGTTCTCTCCCTTTTAATATATGGAAAAAAAAAAAAGAGGAAAAGAACCTCTTTTGTGACCTACGTTTTGGCCGTGACGTCCACATACTGTCCTGGGCGAAAGTGAGCAGCGTAAAGAGGAGTACCTATAGGACAAGACAAAAAAGCCAGCATGAAATTATCCCTGCAACAGCTGTCCTCCACAGAGACGACATTCAGGAAGCCCTGGAAGCTATCAAGTTTCAAAAGCAGTAGGACATTCTCTCGAGTCATTATAATGATCAGAAACACGGACAACAAACTTGTTTAGCAAACATGCTTCTTAACTGACTGAGCACAGGCTGGAGGAGAGGGTGTGCCCAAAACAGGCTCAGGGCCGGAGGGAGGCCAGCCCAAGCTGGCAGGTGGGCTGGTGCCTTTGAGAGACCCCAGAGGTGAGGGCTAAAGAGAATCCCCACAGTAACCCAGTGCTCTGACTGGTCCATGTGTGGGTTCGAGGCTTCTTGGTCATTTTGATGAATAGCAGAATACTGAATTACGGTAATTTTCCTACTCTGTATAAAGAAAACAAGGTAAGGTAAGGTAAAGGCCCTCCCGTTGATCGTCGATTTGCTCGAGCGGGCCCAGTAACGTCTCCATTGGAGACTTTGTTGTTACTGTGTCTGGCATATCGAATACTCTCGGTAGCTTGCCAGGCTCTCCGAGAGGGGCGGAGGAATCGAACTCGGGTCGGCCATGCTGGCCGCTTGTAAGGCGAACGCCGTACCCGCTGTGCTATCGACAAAAACCAAAATAACTAAAATACACTGGCGCTGGATCAAATATTTTTATTCTTTATTGAAGGCAAGTTATCCAAATTCAGAAAGCCTCCATATTGAACACATACATGTTCATCCCATGTCGGGTAGTGATTAGGCTGCATGTAATACCCATGTAAGTTCAAACACATTTTTGGTGTTTAACAGTAAAAAATATAGTTACTGCAGCATATGCCCAGAAATTTACTGAAAAAACTGATTATAGGTACTCCTAACTTTATAAACAAACATTCCAAAACCAGTTGCGGAGAAATAAAATCTTACTTTAACTGCACTTGAGGAACATGTTAAAGGAATTACATAAATCAAAGTCCTTTATAATACTGTTTATAAAAATCATTTAATTTGGCAATTAATCTCCAAACATTTTTAGGTACTTCCATGTACCGAGAGAAATGCGTTTTAGGATAGCTCTAGCCTGATTTTACAGAGGGGGAAAAAACAAATCCCGAAATTGAGGGGCCAGAGCAATAGTACAGCAGGTCAGCATTTGCTTTGCACAAAGGTGACCTGGGTTTGATCCCCGGCATTCCATATGGTCCTCCGAGCCCTGCCAGGAGTAACCCCTGAGAAAGCAGATATGCCCCCCCACTCCCCCCAAAAAAAACAACTTAGGAAGTGGCTACATTTCTGAGGGTGAATGAACCATTGATATATCCATAGAAACATCAATTTCAGAGTCTGAACTAGAACAAAAAATTATGTGGACTAAATTTCTACTATTGTTAGTTTAATTGCACTTACTTTAAAGTTGCAAAACAAGTACTTCAAAACCTTTTCTAGTTGTTATTAAGGCTGATCATAGTCAGTCCAGCTAATAGGGTCCATTGCAACTGTATTTTATTTCAAGAATTCAGCTCAGATGTTAAAATGCCAAATTTTGACACACTTACTATTCCTTAGAACTGAAGCCCAAAGAGCAGGAAACTTTCTGAACACTGAAGACTTCAGGACACTATTAACTATTTCAACCAGAATCATTATATGCTTATATGCTAAATTTTATTTTAATGTTCTATATTACACAAACTATTTTGAATTTTTTTTGAAGAGGGAAGCCAGTGGTGCTCAGGGCTTATTCTTGGTTCTGCTCAGGGACTTCTCCTGGAGGGCTTGAAGGACCTTTACGGGTATTGGGGATCAAATCCAGGTAAGCCGCAAGCAAGGCAAAAGCCACTGTGCTATGTCTCCAGCCCCCATATTTTGAAATTTTTTAGATTCCTATTTTGAATCTCCACATTAAGGTGCTATGGTTGGTCACTCTCCCAGTTTGGGTTCTATTTTCAGGTTATGTATAGCTAGATTTTCTCAGTGAGAAATCTAGCTACTCTTCATCTAATAGAATGAAAGTCTCCTGTGAACTTCATATCTTGAAAGTTGGCGTATTTATCTAGATGTGAAACTCTTTCCACATTAACAACAAAAGTGTTCCTCCCTCTCTTAATGGAAACAAAGAATTCTTTACAGTTCTACTCTTAAAAAGAAAAGGGCTTGTTTGTCCCAGGTGATTAAATTGGATATGGTTTTATATTTAAAAATAAATGTTTGGGACTTTGTATTTTGGATTCAGCTTTATCAAAAGGGCTGGCATTAAGCAAATCACATATTTGGGTATTTTTACCTCCCTCCTCTCCCTGACCTCAGATTACCTGGCTTAATTACAGCATTATCTGTGACACGAAAGATTTTCACTTTCTGCTTTGGTGGCAATCCAAGTTCTCGGTAAAATTCCAATATAGCTGGAGATTTCTAGAGGAAAAACAGCACACACAAATGATACATTAAGTACTAAAGGTGGAGTCTAGCGCATAGAGATCAGAAATCAAGTCCTTAACACCCCAGGAAACAAAGAACGCCTCAGTCCCTTTACAAAGAGCACCCTCACTCCCCTCTTATAAGTAATCCACTGCACTTAATATCCAGCTACGTAATACGTGGCCTTGTATACAACTAGGAGGAAAGTTCTTTGTTTGGTAGCACAGGGAATAAGAGTTGGACTCATTCAAATTCTGAGTGGAGTTCTGCAGGTATCAAGAGCCCCAACCCTGGGAAAGGCAACTGTTTACAATGGTCTCACTTTTAAGCAGCACTAAGAAAACACAGGAAGTGATGTTTAAATACGTGATGACAAACTTCAAACTTGGCCTGATGGACTTTGGCCAAACTACTCTGTCCAGGTCACAGCCTCCTCACCCTCTCCAAGGCAACTATGTCAATCCCTTTTGTAAATTGTCCAGCACTGTTTCCTCCTGCTCACTTGCATGCATCACGCTGCCTCTTACTTCACTCACACGCAGGAGCAGTAAGAACACTGCCTGGCTGGGAGACAATGCAACAGGCTGGAGCACATGCTCTGTTTGCAGGAGGCCCTGCTTCGCTCCCCAGCACCGAAGAGCTGGAGCAAGCTCGCACACTGCACCGCCAGGTGTCGACCAAATAAATATTAAAATAGTTTTTAAAAAGAGCACTTCCTCATCACCAAACCAAGCAAACTGCCTGCACTAGCACTTGGCTGCCGTCAGCTCCCCACTGCCCTCCTGGTCCCAGAGAGGCACCTGGGCAGCTCTAGGAAAGGCCAGAGTTGGGGTCAGAGAGTACCGTGGATCAGGCACTTGTTTGGGGCTGGTCATCATTTATGGTCACCTGAACAATGCCAGGCATTAATTTCTGAGCTCGGAGCCAAGAGTAAGCTGTGAGCAGTCGGGCACGACCCAGAAGGCAAATCGGAAGAAGACGGGTGACAGAACATGCCAGGACTAGGCCCTGCTGCCCAGAGACACTGACTTCAGTGGACTAAGAGGGCATCCAGGAGGGAGTGTTTCTTTAAGTCCCCTTTAGGATTCTGAAGTGACACTGAGGCAGGGGATCACAATGACAGAACAGTCCATACTCCAGTAAAAGTCAACTCTGATGTACTGATGCCAACCCCGTTCACCATTTAGGGAGCTCTAGATCTGAAATGATTCCATCATTGCCTCTTTGTACTGGAACTTTGCTACCAGTACACAGCCAAAGCTGTCCTAACAATGCACAGGTTAAGATAAAACTTTCTCTCACCTACCGTGGTCTCCTTCTGCTGATTCCTGGAAAGGCTTGCTGACATTACCTTCCGCTCCCACCCCCCCAAACTCACTCTCATCAGACATGACCAGCTCTGTAGCTCTGTGCGCCGAGCTGAATGGTGACTATTGTGAGGGTCACCCACTGGCTCCATAAGCTTGCATAATCATTGTACTCCATCTGACAGGTAACCCTCGTCTCCTCAAAAGACTTTCACTTGTCTTCCAGGCACTACCCTCAGATCTCTCATGGGCTAACGACCCCACGTGTCTCATTTCTATCCTAAACTCTACTCCGAACTACAAATTCTATGTCCCAACTCTGAGTTCAGCACCCTGCTCTGACATCAGCCAGCAACTCAAGTTTAACCTGTCTACAGTGGAATGCCACAAACTCCCCAGTGCCCAAGTCTGCTCTCCTGTGATTTTCCAAATCTCAAGCAATGGCAGTTCCATACTTCTGTTGTTTGTAGTAGAAAATAAATTTAAAAAAAAAAAAAAAGATCTGTTCACTATTGACTCTTCTTCCTCAAATCCCAGGTCCCACCCCAACAATGCTTATTATGGACTCTGTTTGAAAACACACCCCACATCAACCACTCTCCTCCCTACCCCAAACCAACACCTCTACTTGGATGACTTCAACAGACTACTAACTGGGCTCCAAGCTTCCTGACTCCTGATGGGTGATGGAATTTACAGGCTACCAAGATCCTTCTAACTCAAGCTATATCACATCTCCACAATGGCTTCAAACTCAGGCAGAATCAAGCCCGAAGTCCTATCACAGTCTATAAGGTTTTATCCATCCTGACCTTAACGCTTATCGACCTTCCAGTGTAACCTGTCTCATTTGCAACACATTCCTCACTGGCCCAACAACAAATTCAGAACAGCCAAAGATTATTGGCAAATACTGACCTCCTGCGGAATACTTTCCTGCCAGATATTGGGGTCTCTGCCCAGGCCATCCTGAGACCTTGCCTATATTGCAACTACTGTTTGCACTGCTTTGAAGTTTTGTAATTAGAACTGAATTACATATCTACTTGCTGGGTTGTTAAGATTTGGATCTGGACAAGCAGGGGGTGGGGTTTTTGTTGCGGTTGTTAGTTTTTGAGTCACACCCAGCTGTGCTCAGAGACTTCTTAAAACACGATACATAGAGCTTCCATCTGACCCTGTGATTCCACTTCTGGGCAGATGTCCCAAGAACACAAATACACCCTGTGAAAAGACCAATATATACCTAAGTCCACTAAAACATTATTTACAATAGCCAGGATCTGCACACAACCCAAAACACACAACAGCAGATGCATGGATAAAAAACTTGCAGTACACAGACACAACAGAGTACTACTCGGCAATGAAAAAAAGATGGCATCTTCTCCAACATAAAAGGAATCTGAATGGTGTCTAATAAAAATTAAAAAAAGAAAAAGGAATCTGAGTGCAAAGTGGGTCAGAAAGCAAAAGAAAAATACTGAATGATCTGACTTGTGGAATATAAAGAAATTAAAGGGATTAGATAATCCCCAGTGGAAACAAATCTTGAGACATGATTATACAGAACTAGAAACTGAGGGTTGGGATGGGGGTACACTGTGGAACAACGGTGGAACGGGCTGGACACAAGGTGGAACGGATAGTTTAGCAACTTTGCAAGCGTCCAACAGTGGCTTCAGTACTGTTATAAACTGACACTGCAATAAAAAATATTATGTACATAAATTAAAAATGGCAAAGGTAAAGGCCCTCCCGTTGATCGTCGATTTGCTCGAGCGGGCCCAGTAACGTCTCCATTGGAGACTTTGTTGTTACTGTGTCTGGCATATCGAATACTCTCGGTAGCTTGCCGGGCTCTCCGAGAGGGGCGGAGGAATCGAACTCGGGTCGGCCATGTTGGCCGCTTGTAAGGCGAACGCCCTACCCGCTGTGCTATCGCTCCAGCCTTTTTAAATTAAAAACCAAGTCTATTGGCTACTCTGAGTTCACCTCCTTGAGTATAACATCAAAATCAACTTGCTTTTGTCTGAAACAGCATTTGCAAATGACAAAGATAATGATCATTTGTCAGTGCTAGAACTTAGATCTTCCATTATTATGTTATATTCCTTGGCATCAAGTATCTTATCTTACATTTCACTATACGGAAATAATTTTATAAACATTTATAATAATCTAGAATTTAAACAACAAAAAGACTTGATCCAAGTAACTATAGACTAAAAACTATTGACTAATACAAATAAAAGAACAAATACCTGTTGATTATCTTCCAGTTCCACTAACTACCAAAGTCTTAATTTTTTTTCTTTCTGAAACAAATAGTCCCCAGCACTGCCTGGTGTGGCGCTGGAAGACCCTGGTCCCCTGGGTCTAAAGGGTCCTGCAGCTCCACAAGCTCAAACCCTAGCACTGACCCACCTACCCCAGTGGGCTGAGTATTGAGTGGCCTGGGTCCCTGACCACTGTTTGGGAGAATTCCCCTCCCCAATAAATCAATGAACAAAGAGTATAGAACTGATTATAAATTGCACATGAGAAAACCTACATGCTCAAGTGAAGAAAGGATGCAAAAAGAAGTTGGTACAGAGACAAAATACTTTCCTTAAGAATTCTAAACTTCATTTTCAACAGCCTATTCTGAACAGTGGCAACCTAACAGAGGCCACTTTTCAACTTCCCTATGATTCTAAAAGGCAATTTAAAAGACTGACAGCAAGGTCACACTTGGATAATACCATCTAAGAGGCTGGTTTCCCCCCCACCGCCCCTTAAAAGTTGTCTGCAATTATCCTTTCCACAATGAAAATGCTTCTCTGCTCTTAAGATGAACTGATTTATCAACTTTTAAGGCACTTGGCTTCCCTATTCAAAACCATTATGTACTACAATCAGTTTTTATTTATAATAAAGCACAAAAATAGCAACTGCCAAGTGGTCTAATTCTTGGAGCCACAAATTCTTTACAAATTGCAGAAAAATAACAATTCTAGCCCCATCATGAATAAATGTTGATTCAGTCAACTGATTTTAGAAAACTTAACTTGACACTATAGCCAAATTAATAGGTTTTGGCTTTTTTGGTTTTTAAATACCGTATAATTAACTATTTGCAGTTTCCCAGAGGAGGGTCACAACATGCAAAAGCAAGTTCATATAGAGAAAAGATACTTTCTTTAAGAATTCTAAAACTTCATTTTCACAGCCCATTTTGAACAAAAGTTTTTAAAAAACGCTTTTATAATTATTTTATAATTATAATAAGTATCTCCTTAGGAAATTTACATCTGGAAGAATAAAGAACGTTTTTGTAACACTTGGTCTACCAGAAAGGCAAACCATTTTTTATTAAAAAAATTTGTGGGTTTTTTTGGTTGTTTTTGTTTTAATGTTTTGCTTTTTGGGTCACACTGGAAGTGCTCAGGGCTTACTCTTTCCTGGCTTTCTGCTCAGGGATCACCCTGGGTGGGGATGGGTGAACCATGTGGCACTGGGGATCAAAGTCGGGTCAGCCACGGGCAAGTCAAGCACCTTAACCACTGGAGCATCTCTTCCGCTCCCCAAAAGATTTTATTTCTACTTTTTGAGAAGTGAACAGTTTTGAAAGTGTGGGTCAAAATCTACCAGAACATAGAATACAGCATCCAAATCATTGTGCTTGCTATGTATTCACTGAAGAGGTAAACTGAAGACATGTACAGGGCTTAAGAATAGGAAGTATGACCGTATAAATAAATTTTTAACTGGACGACATCTTCACCACTAAGTAAAACTAAGTACACTAAAGTGCTAAGTACATTTTGGTGGGAACCTGTTTTCTCTCTCTCTCTCTCTCTCTCTCTCTCTCTCTCTCTCTTTTTTCTTTCTGGATCATACCCGGCAATGCACAGGGGTTACTCCTGGCTCTGCACTCAGGAATCACCCCTGGTGGTGCTCAGGGGACCATATGGGATGCTGGGAATCGAATCTATGTTGGCTGCGTGCAAGGCAAACACCCTACCCGCTGTGCTATCTCTCCAGTCCCCTGTTCTCTCAAGCACCAACACGAGGCTTTTAGCACCAGAGAACTGGATCGTGTTGGTGCTGGCACTGCCATCTGGGTTAATTAAACCACATTCAAGTGTAATCACAGGTGGTACCTGTGGGTTACCAAGTTTTATGGCGAAGAAAAGCTTCAAAAGAGTTGGCATGAAGTGAACTAAGGGCAAAAGCCAGTACTAGAACTCAGCTCTTCCGGACACATGTTTACTTGTTTCTCCACCCAGTTTGAGGAAAGAAGATTCACATTCTGTAAAAGCAGACTAGATTATTCCATGCTGATGCTTGGTTTACAAATATCAAGGCGGCAAAAATCATGAATTTACAATATTGATAATGAAAAATCAAGATAATGGTGCTAATCACAACAAAAACACTGACATACAATTAATTAGAAAACATCGGGGCCTGTCAAACCAAAGAAGCACTCACGTGGGGTCTGGCACATATCTACATATTTTAAAATTCATGCATTTCATACTTTAAAAGCAATCCCATAAATAATTCATTGTACTTTTAATTACTGTGAAATTACCTGAACTCTTGAGTTTATTAGTCAATAAACCGTCAATTACTAACAACAGGATGGATATTACTAGAGAGATTCAATATAAAGCAAATAGGCAGCTGTAACTATCCTTCAATGCAATTATCACAACTACCCTTCTACCACCCTCTAATACTAGTTATGACAATAATAAAATAACTACCCTACTGCCTTATAGGTGAGGCTCTGCAGGGGTTCTTCTATTCAATTATAAGGCTTGATGGTTCACCACAGGCAATTCACATGTCCCAGCATTTATAGGCCAATTCTCCCTGGATTTCTGTGAACCCAACATCAATACCTTTCCTCCCAAACTCTCTGCCTTGTTCCCATCCCAGGTTCCAGCCTGTGCATGGAACAGCGGCTTAGTTTACCAACCAACCCGTGTCCAGGCCCTGTCAGACACACTAAGCCCCTGCCCAGTGTGTTACAAATGTGCAAGTGCTCTAGTGGAACGGAATTGTTTTTAATCAACTCTTCCCTAATGTTTTCAGAACCTAAAGAACGTTTATTCTGTATCCAAATATTTCTCATCAGGATATAGTTAACCCAGGTATCAATTTAACCACCTTACTGCCCTGAAGAATTCAGAAAGTTCCTAGAAGTCTATAGGTAAAGTCTAAATGCCCCTAAGTATTGCAAACTTCACCTTTTATTTTATTTATTTTATTTATTTATTTTTTGCTTTTTGGGGCTCACCCAGCGATGCTCAGGGATTACTCCTGGCTCTTCATCTTCACGCCGGAATTACTCCTGGCGGTGCTGGGGGACCATATGGGATGCCAGGGATTGAACCTGGGTCGGCCGCGTGCAAGGCAAACGTCCTACCGACCTACCCTGTTGTGCTATCACTCTTCACCTTTTAACCACCTGCCCTCGGGTCCATTGCGGCACATAAAAATGCAGATTCCCCCACCCCCACTTCTTTCCTGGTACAAACTTCCATCCACTGTTTCTGATTTTGCAGAGACCACGCCCTCTCACAAGTCTTCATTCAACACCCATCCCCTTTCTTGATCTCCCTCCTGAGGACATTTCTAGGATTTAGTACCCTTCATCTGATTTATTCCAACTCTCACTCTGCTTTGGGACTGTGGCTTTACCTCCCCACCTTTCCCCCCAGCTCAGAAGAGAGAGGGTGGGTATCAAGTGACAGGAACATATGCTTTGAAGACCCACAGTCCAGCTGCTTCTTAGGTTGTGGCCCTCAAGGGCCAGGCAGAAAAGTCCTCGGCGTCCTCAGTCTAACAGGCTAAAAGGTTATACCAAAGCAACTGTTCAGGCCTGAATGCATTAAGTACCTGGCATGTGGTAAGTCCTTATACAAGTTTACAACAAGGAAAGAGGCATATAATAACACCTGCTAATTTTTTGCAGTTGCCGCAAATGAATCATAGCCTAATTTCCATCCATGTTCATTTCACAAACAACTTAAGAGTGAAGTGTTTATCTTTCTTTCTTTTTTTTCCCCTAAGTGAAGCAAGGCAGTTTTTAATGAACAAAACTTTCTTACAAAAAAGTAAGGGATACTAAGGACACCGGTGGTGGGAAATGAGGAAATGTACACTGGTGGAAGGATGGGTGCTGGAGCACTGTATGATTGAAACTGGATCACCCAATCATGAACATCTTTGTATCTGTATAGTTCACTATGATTCAGGGAGGGAGGGAGGGAGGGAGGGAGCGATAGTAGGAAAGAAGGGGAAATATGTGTTTAAGAGAGAATCTGAGCTTCTCCGAAGTAAAAATAAGTAAAAGAAACATAAAAACAAGCAAGTGAAATGTGTTCAAGAGAGAACATGGGCTTGAAGAACAAGTTGAAAAAGCATTTGTCTTGGAGAGAACATGTTTCAATAAACCTTCAGATGTTTAGTTACCCACCAGCAAAACACATCACCATTTCCAGAAAGGTATTCACTGCTTTTAGTCATCCACCGTGTATACTAAATTTTTCAAATTTAAACTACAAACTCAGCATTCTATTACTATTCTACTGGGGGGGGGGGGGGGGGGAGACTGCTTTATTTAAAAAACCTGATATGGCTTCACAAACAGCTCTTGCCCAAGTGCTAAAAGCTCCTTCTGGCAGATACAAAATGCATCTTCACATGCTGTTGATGCCAAGCGTTGAGAGACTTTAGAAAAAAGATTCACAATTTACCTTATGGGCAAGCACAACTCTGTCAAGTTTAACATCCTCAAAAACTAAATCTGAAACTAATGAAAAACCCTATTCTGCGAGAATGAAAATACATGCTTACGTAAAATCGTGAAACGGTTTTTCCTCCTACGGTTAAGGTTCCCATTTTCCCATCACAATTTTCCTTTGGAGTATACTTGAGGACGTGACAGTCTTGCACCTGGCGGGAGGGGGAAGGGTGGGGGAGAGGGGGGAAACAATAAAACATTAGTACGCATCGAGATACATCCTTCTGGTGTTTTTGCTGTGGTTTGTTCAGGGGCCACACCAGCAATGCTCAGGGTTGACTCCTGGCTCTGTGCTTAGGGATCACTTCTGGTGGACCGAGGGACCATATGGGATGCTGGGGATCAAACTCGGGTCAGCTGCGTGCCAGGAAAATGCCACACACCCACTGTACTACTGCTCCAGTCAGTGGCAAGATACATTTTTTTTTTAATTTTTATTAGTGAGACACCATGAGGTACAGTTGTAGACTTACAAATTTTTGTGCTTGGGTTTCAATTATCAATGATCAAACACCCATCCCTCCTCCAGTGCCCACTTCCCATCACCACGGATCCCAGTATCCCTCCCACCCCCATTCCCCATCCCACCCTGCCTCTTGTGGCAGGGTATTCCCTTTTGTTCTCTCTCTCCTATTGGGTGTTGTGGTTTGCAAAAGAGGCAATGGGTGGCAATCATGTTTGGTCTATAGTTACTTTCTTTTTTTTTTTTTTAATTTATTTATTGAATCACTGTGGGAAAGGTTACAAAGCTTTCAGGTTTATGTCTCAGTCATGCAAATATCAAACACATTTCCCTTTACCAATACTTATTTTTTACCATGAAGAACCCCAATAAAACCCCACCCCCTACCCCTCCCCGTCCCTGTGAGGCAGATGAATTCTAGTTAACACTCTATCTGCTTTGATTAGATTCATTGTTTCAATAAAAGATTCACCACTATTATTTAGAGTTTACCCCCCCCCAAATCAGACATGCTGAGAAAGCATTGTGAAGTGATTTGCTTTCTACAGCTGGGTTCAAGAATTAAATGTTGGTTTTGGATTTTTGCTATTTTACCTATTGACCCTGGAAGTATTTCTACTGAAAGTCAGATAGTTAAGAAATTGGTTTCTGTGTTCTGGAGTCATGGCCGTGCTGGAGAGCCGCTCGCGGGGGGCAACCGGTGGCCTCGGTAGGGCGTGAAGGGCGGAGCGAAACGCCCCCCTTCCCATGAGGTTTTAGTCGCCCCCACACTCCCGGCTCATACCTGCTGTCCACAAGGCTCCCATGTGGCCGCCATCTTTCTTTCCAGAGGGAGGAGGGCGGAAGGGAGCAACACCCTTTCCCCTCTGGGCAGAAATGATTGCCTGGATTAACGCATAGTCCTTTCACTTTTCTGCTCCAAGCTGCTGGGTTCTGCATTAGGTCATTGTGCTTCTGGGGCTGTGGCCGTGCTGGAGAGCCGCTCGTGGGGGCAACTGGTGGCCTCGGTAGGGCATGAAGGGCGGACCGAAACGCCCCCCTTCCCATGAGGTTTTAGTCGCCCCCACACTCCCGGCTCATACCTGCTGTCCACAAGGCTCCCATGTGGCCGCCATCTTTCTTTCCAGAGAGGAGAGGGCGAATGGGGCAACACCCTTTCCCCTCCGGCAGACTTGATGGGCTGGATCAACGCATAGTCCGTTCACTTTTCTGCTCCAAGCTGCTGGGTTCTGCATTAAGTCCTTGTGCTTCTGAGGCCATGGCCGTGCTGGAGAGCCGCTCGCGGGGGGCGACTGGTGACCTCGGTAGGGCGTGAAGGACGGACCAGAACGCCCCCCGACCCATGAGGTTTTAGTCGCTCCCACACCCCCGGCTCATACCTGCTGTCCACAAGGCTCCCATGTGGCCGCCATCTTTCTTTCCAGAGGGAGGAGGGCGGAAGGGAGCAACACCCTTTCCCCTCTGGGCAGAAATGATTGCCTGGATTAACGCATAGTCCTTTCACTTTTCTGCTCCAAGCTGCTGGGTTCTGCATTAGGTCATTGTGCTTCTGGGGCTGTGGCCGTGCTGGAGAGCCACTCGTGGGGGCAACTGGTGGCCTCGGTAGGGCGTGAAGGGCGGACCGAAACGCCCCCCTTCCCATGAGGTTTTAGTCGCCCCCACACTCCCGGCTCATACCTGCTGTCCACAAGGCTCCCATGTGGCCGCCATCTTTCTTTCCAGAGAGGAGAGGGCGAATGGGGCAACACCCTTTCCCCTCCGGCAGACTTGATGGCCTGGATCAATGCATAGTCCGTTCACTTTTCTGCTCCAAGCTGCTGGGTTCTGCATTAAGTCCTTGTGCTTCTGGGGCCGTGGCTGTGCTGGAGAGCCGCTCGTGGGGGGTGACTGGTGACCTCGGTAGGGCGTGAAGGACGGACTGGAACGCCCCCCTTCCCATGAGGTTTTAGTCGCTCCCACACCCCCGGCTCATACCTGCTGTCCACAAGGCTCCCATGTGGCCGCCATCTTCCTTTCCAGAGGGAGGAGGGCGGAAGGGAGCAACACCCTTTCCCCTCTGGGCAGAAATGATTGCCTGGAGTAACGCATAGTCCTTTCACTTTTCTGCTCCAAGCTGCTGGGTTCTGCATTAAGCCCTTGTGCTTCTGGGGCTGTGGCCGTGCTGGAGAGCCGCTCGTGGGGGGCAACTGGTGACCTCGGTAGGGCGTGAAGGACGGACCAGAACGCCCCCCTTCCCATGAGGTTTTAGTCGCCCCCACACCCCCGGCTCATACCTGCTGTCCACAAGGCTCCCATGTGGCCGCCATCCTTCTTTCCAGAAGAGAGGGCGAATGGGGCAACACCCTTTCCCCTCCGGCAGACTTGATGACCTGGATTAACGCATAGTCCTTTCACTTTTCTGCTCCAAGCTGCCGGGTTCTGCATTAAGTCCTTGTGCTTCTGGGACTGTGGCCGTGCTGGGGAGCCGCTCGTGGGGGGCAACTGTTGACCTCGGTAGGGCGTGAAGGACGGACCGGAACGCCCCCCTTCTCGTGAGGTTTTAGTCGCTCCCCACACCCCCGGCTCATACCTGCTGTCCACAAGGCTCCCATGCGGCCGCCATCCTTCTTTCCAGAGAAGAGAGGGCGAATGGGGCAACACCCTTTCCCCTCTGGGCAGAAATGATGGCCTGGGTTAACTCATCGTCCGTTCACTTTTCTGCTCTAAGCTGCTGGGTTCTGCATTAAGTCCTTGTGTTTCTGGGGCTGTGGCCGTGCTCCAAACTTAACTCTGATTTTCAGGGAGAAAGATTGGGTCGTTTACTTCTCATTGATCACTTTGTATATAGAGAGATGCGGTTTTGAGAAAAAGTCCTTGTTCCCGCCTACTCGAGCTGTGTTTGTAGAGGCTTCTGGTCACCGGGGTTCCATCTGGGGAGGCAGGATGCGGCACCTACTCCATCTGGAACTTGCCGGTGCTCTCGGCTCTTTTTGGAACCTGTTTTTTCTTTTTTTATTCCTCCGGGATCCCGCACCCTCCATGTGTTCCTTCTCTTATGCTGAAAGCTTCAAAGATGGCGCTGGGGGGCGGGCTGTGGGCGTGACTTGGGGAATCAGAGGTTACCTGGGAGGTGTAGTCCGGCAGATTTGAGAAAAAGTCCTCGTTCCCGCCTACTCGAGCTGTGTTTGTAGAGGCTTCTGGTCACCGGGGTTCCATCTGGGGAGGCAGGATGCGGCACCTACTCCATCTGGAACTTGCCGGTGCTCTCGGCTCTTTTTGGAACCTGTTTTTTCTTTTTTTTATTCCTCCGGGATCCCGCACCCTCCATGTGTTCCTTCTCTTATGCTGAAAGCTTCAAAGATGGTGCTGGGGGGCGGGCTGTGGGCGTGACTTGGGGAATCAGAGGTTACCTGGGAAGTGTAGTCCGGCAGATTTGAGAAAAAGTCCTCGTTCCCGCCTACTCGAGCTGTGTTTGTAGAGGCTTCTGGTCACCGGGGTTCCATCTGGGGAGGCGGGATGCGGCACCTACTCCATCTGGAACTTGCCGGTGCTCTCGGCTCTTTTTGGAACCTGTTTTTTCTTTTTTTTTTCCTCCGGGAACCCGCACCCTCCATGTGTTCCTTCTCTTATGCTGAACGCTTCAAAGATGGCCTATAGTTACTTTCAATATGCATCTCCCATCCTGGGAGGATCCTCCCAACACCCTTTATTTGGTGCTCCCTTCTCTATCTGAGCTCCCTTTTCCCTTAGCATGTGTGGCTGGCCTCCAAGCCATGGAGTAAAATTCCTGGTACTAATCTCGGCCATTCTTGGCAAGATACATCTTAATGTTACACACCAATCACACAGAGGTTCTAATTAGGAACTCCCTCGAGCCAGTATCTCATGTCTCCTAGAAGGCCACATACTTAAAATGCAGCAATAACCTTCTGAAGACCTGTCTAGAACATACAGATAACATACACAGAAAATGGCACAAACAACGCAATACAATGAGTACCAACCAGGAAAATACGCACAGACTCACTCACGATCCTTGTCGAGAGCCAGTCTGGGTGTCACCTGTTGGTCACCCGAGGCCCCTTGAGCAGCTGTTCTCCAAGAGCGGTCCTGAGACAGGCAGAGTTGGCATCACCTGGGAACTCGGTGAAAGCACCAATTCTCACATTCCCACTGAAACCCAGCCCATCAGAATCTGTTCTATAGCACTCCCCCATCCATGATTCTGAAGCTTAGAGAACTTCTTCCTAAAGGAGCACTGTCCTAGAGAGAACCCCTACTATTGACACATTTTCTTTCTAATCACCACCTTTGAAAGTATTACTAGTGGGGCAGGAGTAATGACACAGCGGGGAGGGCGTTTGCCTTGCATGTGGCCAACCTGGATTCGATCCCCAGCATCCCATATGGTACCAAGCACCACCAGGAGTAATTCCTGAGTGCAGAGCCAGGAGCAATCCCTGAGCATCACTGGGTGTGACGCAAAAAGCAACATAAATAAAGATGTTTGCTTGTAGGTATCTTTAAGAAAAAAAAAAAGAAAGAAAAAGTATTACTTATAAGGCAGCTTAGTGTTGCCTGCTTTAAACTTTCTATATGTGGAATCCAACTGTCTCGACTCTTTCCTGTCTCCCTTCACTCAGCATTCCAGCACCTCCCCATTGCTCAGTGCTATTCAATTCTGTTTATTTTTGTTGCAGTCCAGCATTCCGTTAGGCGAGAAGACTATGGCATGTTACCCTGTTCCACCACTGATGAGCATTTGGGCTCTTCCTAATGTGGGAGAGCGAAGAACAATTGCTGTCACACGCACTGTCACACAGGGATCCGGGGCATGGCTGGGCAACACTTCCAACAACACTCAGGAGCTTACGTGCTAGTCTGGTGCTTCTCAACAAAGGACCACGAGGCCCTCTGGGATATTCCAAAGGAGCTACAGTGAAAATCACCTACAGGGGGTGAGGCACGGCATCTGGAGGGCAGGGGCAGGCTAGGAAGAAAACGCGTCATGAGGAGGCCACAAACAGGGGAAGGCGTTGAAACACCAAGCTAGACTACCAAGCCCACCTGTCTCAACTTCTCAGTGTACAGAGTGAAACTCTTTCCCGAGTGGTGGCACTAATTTAGAGCCTCACCAGCAGAGTCTCCTGCCCCTGCGCCTGGCTGTCCTCACCGGGGCCCCTAGGAGGGGCCCTCCCTGCCCTGAGCAGAGCCCCGGCAGCAGAAGATCTCCAGAACCAGCCACAGCCATGCTGAGACCACTCTCCACAGGCATGAAAGAACCGGCAGAAGAACCCAGGCATGCGGGTCCCAAGGCTGAGATCTCCAAGCCTGTTCGGATAGGGACTGGGCCTCCTCTGCCCAGATCCCCCATCTTCCAGTAGGCAGGGGTCACACCCACCAACTGCCCCCGGAGCCAGGTAATCCCATCAACAACCAAGACCCAGAGACTATAAAACCCAGCTCCCGGAAGCACGCGGCCGCATTTGCAGCTGTGCGACATCTTATTATCTAGTTCTTACTCTGGAGAACCCGGCAGGCTTCCGAAAGCATCCTGCCCGCACAGCAGTCTGGCAAACTCCCCATGGCGTACTCAATATGCCAAAAACCAGTAATAATGATGGGTCTCATTCTCCTGACCCTGAAAGAGCCTCGAATGTGGCACTTTCTAAAATCTCAGGGCAAGGATGAAGGAGAATTTACTGGTGCCTGCTCAAGGAAATTGATGAACAACAAGATGATCGTGATCGTGACCAGCCATTCCCGAGAGCTCCCAGGGTCCCTCAGAGTTTTCAAAACTGTATATCTATTTCTGCTCATTCAGATCTGATTGATAAATATGTACTCAACACTTGAAGGCCCAGGCCTGCTGAGCCCATCAGAACCCAGCACTTAAGAACACCAGCGATATCAATTTGGTCCACACTGTTTGTCTGAGACTAGTTTGTCAATGATTTACTAGGATGATGATGACGCTGAAGACAGCAACCGTTAATGTTAATTGGCCATGTCATGCTGTTTTAGGTTTTAAATGCTTGTCATAGAGCCTCCTTCAATTTTCACAATAATCACGAGGCGTGTCCTCATTATTTCTTTTATAGAAAATTATACAGGAGGCACCAACCCCCCACACCCCACACCTAGGAAGTGGTAGAACCAGGACAGGAAGTCATGTGTCTTGATTCCAGGACTCACATTTATTTTTTTAATGTAAAACAGATTTTATTTGGAGGGTTTTGAAGGGGAGGAGGGAGAGAAAGTGTGAGAGAGTAGAGAGTAAGGTGTCCATGAGGGAGTGTAGGCTTCTACAAGGGCGGAGAGAGCCCCTACACACATCCCCGGATTAGACACGAAAGCATGAAAGTCCCCATCTCAAGAGGGGAGGTGTGGGCAACACATGTGCTCAGGCACCGCATGTGCTTGGCCACATGGGCACAAGCAGCACATGGGTTTGGGCAGCATGTGTGCCAGGGCTCACATTTTTGATCACTTGAGTGTACTTTATTTCACAGATGAACATGCTTCCGCAGATAAGAGAGCTAAATTCAGAGTTCACGAATCACGACGACGAATCACGACCATCCTGTTAATCGTCGATTGCCTCGAGCAGGCCCCAGTAACGTCTCCTTCATCCTAGCCCTGAGATTATATTCAAGGCTCTTTAGGAGAATGAGACCCATCATTGTTACTGGTATTTGGCATATAGGGTACGCCACGGGGAGTTTGCCAGACTCTGCCGTGTGGGCAGGCTACATTTGGTAGCCTGTCAGTTTGTCCAAAGTAGGGATGAGATAATAAAGTTAGTAAAGACATCAAAATTATAATTTGGAGTCGAAAGAACTTCGTAAATGAAAATGAGATGAGACTGAGATATCTCCCAATTGTGATGTGAGGTATTTGAAAAGTGAGGTTACAATTCTTTTTAAGCTTTTCAGGGGGGTTGGGGGAGTTGAGGGCCACACCTGGAGGTGCTTAAGAGTTAGACCTGGCCCTGTGCTCAGGAGTGACCCCTGGCAGTGCTCTGAAAACCATATATCGTGCTGGGTCGGCTGCACGCAAGGCAAGGAGGTAATCTATGCATAACCTCCCGTCCTTTCTCTCTCAGGCCCTCCTTTCATATAATCTTTGCTCTGGTCATCCCACTGCCAGAATTATGAAAGTCACTACTCAGGTTAGTGTGCAAACATTCACTGAAACCATATGAACTAAGTCTTTTCAGCAGTACTTATGCTCGATGATGCCCTACTCTTATTTGCTTTATGGACCACATCTGGTGGTGCCTGGCATAAGTGGGTACCAGGAAATGAACCAGCGTTGTGGCCAAAGTCACCAAGTGCAAGGCAAGTCCCTGACCTCCTATATCATCTTTCCTGCCCTTGACACTACCCTCCTCTCCATCATACAGCTGCACATCTCAGGATATAACCATGCCTGTGTACACCACACAGAGCTAAGCACACACACACACACAAATCATCAGCCCTTCTGTTTCTTTCTCACCTGGAGCAACGTGACCACATGCTTTTGGCCATCTTTGGTCCACAGAGGCATCATGCCCAGCTTCAGAGCAATGAGTCCTACTCTGGAGGAACCTGGCAACAAAAAACAAATCACTGTTCGCACAAGCTTTGTTTACATTAACCAACATGCAACAGTACTTCTGGAATTGTGCTTTTCATATAAGAAGCAGCAGATAAGAAACACAGAATCCATTTATAAAGTGAAACACAAGTACTTCTTACCAGGAATAGTTGAAGATGTGCATATCCTCAACTATTCCTGGCCTAATATAGACTTAGGTGCTCCAAAAGTCTTGGGCAAATTAAGCAGGAGGTATCAGAGAACCCTGCAAGGAAACAGGTTTATTTTGGTTTTAAAATAACGGCACAAATAGAGGGTCTGGTTAATCTATCGGTATGCTTTACTTTTCTAACAGCAATTATTACCCCTAATCATTGAATAGAGATCATCTATCACTTAACTCCTAAGAAGTTAGCTAGGGGTCTAGTCAGGACACAAACGGTTAGCTGCTAAATCATACCTGCTCTCTCATGAAACTTAGATTTGCTGCATGAATCAATACAGCGACTGCAGTGAGACCTTTTGTCCAAGGTCTGATTCAACAGTCACCATGAGCTCTAGCCAGAAACCCAACACTTAACAGGAAGACCTTATTCTTCTTGATCTGGCCCAGGGGACTCAGCACACTCTCGCAAAGGCCTGAATCAGAGGCCCTGCTCGGCAACCCTGGAGTGCGAGACCAACCCAACCGGAAAGACAATTGGCACCAGAGAGTTGAGACCAGACTCTTCCTCCTTTTCTGCCAACTGATTTCATGTTTTTTTTTTTTTTTAATGTGAAGGAAAGAAAAATGCACAGAGAACAAACCCTTCATTCACAAACAGCTTTCTGGGGAAGTCTTCAGCTATTGTTAAGTATTAACAGTAATCAGGGCCCTGGAACTAGCACTTCCAGGGGGGGTTGGGGGGTGGGAGGGATACTGGGATCATTAGTGGTGGAGAATGGGCACTGGTGGAGGGATGGGTACTCAATCATTGTATAACTGAAACCCAAGCACAAAAATTTGTAAGTCTAAAAAATAAATAAAATAAAATAACAACAAAAAAGAGGGTCTAGTTAATCCAGACCCTCTATTAATCTGGTTAATTACAAGCAGACAGGCATTCAAGACACAAAAAAATAGGCATGCCTTGTATGTGGCCAAGCCTGGTTTGATTCCTGATATCACATAGTCCCCAAGTGTCACTGAATGCAGTTCTAGAGGGCCCCGCCTACCACCAGCTATGGCCGCAGAGGATCCTGAGCACCACTGGGGTAATTGTGAGTAACCCAGGGTCCGGGCAGCACTGCATCCTTGGACCCCAAAGCTGATCCGCCGGTCCAGTTGGCTAAGAATCATAGGAAGTGCCAGCCACCCCCTGCCCAACACGAAAATTAAATTTAAAAAATGTTCAAGTAATCAAGTGATGAAGATTTCGAATATGCCAGACACACTAATTAGAAACTGTGAATACATCAAGTACAAAATAGCCACCTGGTTCCCAAGGGTGTATAGGCCACGGTTCATCCTTCAGTGGACACAATTTACTTGCTAACTGGGCCTTATTTTCATCAGAGACCAGCTGCTTCAAAAATGTGACATTTTCTTCGGAGAGATGCTCATCCCACCACGTAGCACTCTTGTCATGTAAACTTCTAACCGAAAGGCATATGTTTGTTCTGTAAAAAAAAAAATTAGAAAATAAGCCATATTTTAAAAATTTCCCAAGTTGGTCTAGGAAAGAAAGGGTACATGGGTCAGGAAGTCTGTCCAGTCTTAGAAAGCGATTGTGCAAGACTGTTTCTAATAATCTTTATAATAACAAAAGACTCTCATTTTAATAGTTAAGGGATACACTGGAGGCAAAGGGCCTCATCTTCTCTGGGATATCAATTTTATTTTATGTAGGGGAGAGGAGGGGGCATGGGGGGGGGGCTAAGCCACACCCAGTGATGCTCTGAGCTTACTCCTGGCTCAGTGCTCAGAGTTCACTCCTGGCAGATGATGCCAGGGATCAAACTGGAGTCTGTGTGCAAGGTAAGTGCCTTATGACCTGTTTCTTTCTCTCCACCCTGATAAACACATTTTAAACAAAGCAGCAGCACCTCCAGCCGGCAGGGCCGTGAGCTCAGTCTAAAGGGCCCAACAGTTTCTATGCAGTAAAGGGACAGAACGTGAAATTCATCGACACGTCCTGCTTTTCTGTAACGAATTTGCCTGAAAGCCTGGGCTTGGAACAGTGAAGAAGCTGGGCATGCAAAACCACAGGCTCACCGATAGGACTTGAGACCAAGTGCCCTAGGAGAGGCTTGCAAACGGGGTCAGCAAAACGGGGTGTCAGCCTTGCAATCAAGACGGTCTCAGCCTTGCAATCAAGACTGTCACCCTCTCGACTTCGCATTACACTCGAGTGACCTTGGGCAGGTCATTTCTCCTTTTGAAAAGAGTTCTGTTTTTAATAAGAAGGGGAGGAGAAAGAGGGCTCCCACCGTAAGCTCCCTGGGCTATAGCGCCTGGTCTATACCCACTAAAGGGGATCTACTGCAGAGGAAAACCCCCCACTAGCCAGCAGTTACATTTGCTCCCCAGGATGGTCGCTGTCAGTCGCTGACCCGTGTGCATGGAAAAAAAAAAGGCCAAAATAAATGACCCCCAAGGGCACACATTCCGAGAGTAAAAGACTCCTGATTTGTCTGCTCCCGACTGTGCACGGAGCCCCTCCTGCCTCCACCCTCCCTCCGCCAAGGCCAAAGTTCTGCCAGCCCCGCGGCCGCACGCGGCGGCCTGCACCCACCTGTTCCCCGGGGCCCGGGCGGCGTCCAGGGGGCCGCGGCGCAGCACCCGGGCGCCCGCCTGGGCCAGCAGACGCCAGCCGGGCATGGGGTGGCCGGGGGAGCGTGCAGGGCGGTGCAGGCCCCTCGCCGCCGTCGCCCGTCCAGCCGCAGCCTCCCAGGAGCCGTCCCGCCGTCGCCCTCCGGGACGGGAAAGATTGCAATTAAAAAAAAAAAAAAGAAAGAAAAAAAAAGAGCCTTGGGAGCCACTTCCGGTCCTGTGCCAATACGCTCCGGTTCCTGCCGCCAGGTGTCCGGAACTAGAGTTCCGCCTTCTGAATAGTCCCATTTAGGACCAACCCTGGGGCCGGTTTCTAGGGGGAGCGGGGGCGCGGGTTTGCGGGGGAAAGGTGCGGGAGGGTGATGGTCAGAGCTGAAATTTTAGGATCATGAAGAAAATGGCCATAGACTTTCTTTGAAATTATTTATAGATAACACAGTGGGTGTGTTGGGGGGTGCGGGACATATTACTATACTAAGCAGTGATTGTTATTCTATTTATTTACTGCCAATCTGCTACGGGAGAAGTTATTTCTGCAATCTTAGTGAGGAAGCGCAGACTTCGGTTTCTGGTACAAATGCAGAAAGGCTGATCAGGCAGACGGGCAGGGCCTAGCCTGCAAACGGGTTGTGTGTTACCAATGTAACAGAGGTGAAATGCAATGCTAAAGGGATTGTTAGTGTTTGGGCCTCTTGGTCTGCCCATCAGGGGGACAGACAGGGGGTGGTGTCCTGCAGGGACTCCAAAAGACTGCTAGCTTATTAGTCAAATGGGTGTTTATAGAAATTAGAAAATAAAAATGTGAAAGTTTAGGCATTTCTATACCCTATTTTTGTTAGCGTTCCAGCTAGCTAAATAGTAATTCCTGATTATAGTCTGGACTTTTGTAAGCTCAAAAGCTTTGCTTGTTTTTCTGTTCATTCTGTTCTCTTTCCTTTCCTAACCCCCTCCAGAACAGTTCGTGTTCTGGCCCCCTAGGACCATGAAAATAAACCCCTTATCATTCCACACTGAGTCCTCTGAGTTGGATGTTTGGCATCAGCATATCTTTTAATAAGGCATCACAGCTCTCTGGGTTGTTGCCTAGTAACAATGGAGCAAATATGTTTCATTGAACAAACATGTCTTGAGGTGTGATAGATGAAAGAAGCTGGAAATAAAAGGTCTTTCTTACAACTTCCAGTAAATAACCATATGTTGTGCATTTGATGTATTATCATATATTTTTTTTATAGGACCATCAAGACTACCAGAAACACACTTGAACCCAAACAAGGTTATGTTTCACGAGTTTGGTACAGCCTAAAAGAGGATATCCTAAAGATATCTTTATGTGAATGAGTTGGGAAAGACGTGTTATAGGATTTAGACTTATACTGCTATTTTAAGGTGGAGTCAGGAAATCGGGGACTTGTTATTAAGTGGATACTATCTAGAAGCAAGTATAATTTAGCAAATGTACATTTCAACAATTCTTTTCTGGAGGCTAGGAGACCAAATAAAAAATTACTAGTCAGTTTGAAACAGTGGTGTGGCATTGGCAATGCTTTGTATGGAGGTCCCATTATATCCTTATTAAAATTTTTATTACAATTTTATTGAGGAATAAATAGCACATAGCATCCTAGGTGTTCCAGTATAAAGACTGTGGCCTGATTAAACAAGATTGATTTTTTACTCTTTCAGTGTATTTTCTAAACCTTGATAACAACCCCATATGATCAGATTCTAAGTATCTCCATTTCACAATTGAGAAGATTAGCACAGAAAGATGGCATATCTAAGATAAGGTCATTCAGCTGGCAAATGATAGAACCAAGATTCAAATGTTAGCCATGTGACCATGAAGCAATGTGCCTTTAACCATCTAACTTCTTTGACTCCTTTGAAATGTTGGAATTCCTCTGTGGATCAAAATGAAATGTGGGAAGTAAACATTTCACACACAGTGGTCCATGAAGATTGAAAAAGACAGCTATTCAGTCTCAATTTTACCCCTGATGACAAATCTCTTCCGATGCATTAATGGTGGCTTGAGTCAATGAAACTCTTAGCAGGAACCACTGCTAAATGAATTCAAAGCAAAAATTTCCCCCTTTGTTGCTATATAGCACACAGCTCATTATTACAAGGGAGGACTAGCAGATGTCATTATGTTCTACTTAGTCACTGACGCACGCTCCTCACTGACAAGGACCAGACCTCGTAGACAAGGGATAAAGCCCTAAAAGAAGGTTAACTCTTTTTCTGAAAGTCTTCAAGCCAAATCCACCAAAGAATTCACCAAGGCAGGTTTAAACCCTTTCACTGGAATACCTTTTCTGTGTTCCTGCCTTTCAGTAAAATATTTGCAACATGTTCTGAATAGTTGACTTATAACAGAAGGATCAATTTTTTACTGTTGACTATTTTTCATTTTATATTCATTGATGGTATCTCTAAATATCACTGTGTCACTGTCACTGTCATCCTGTTGATCGTCGAATTAATCGAGCAGGCACTGTAACATCTCTATTCCTCCCAGCACTGAGATTTTAGCAGTCTCTTCTTACTTGTCTTTTCCCAATGATTGGAGGCTCTTTCAGGGTCAGAGGAATGAGACCTGTTGTTGTTACTGTATTTGGCATATTGAATACGACACAGAGAGCTTGCCAGGCTCTGCCTATGTGGGTGAGATACTCTTGATAGCTTGCTGGGCTCTCTGAGAAGCATATATTTATATATTTTTCTCTATGATTTGTTGGCTACTGTCTGAACCCATCAGATATGATGTAGTAATAGTGGAAAATGGGTAGGAAGTGTCTTATAAAAGACATGAAAAGCGGCCTGCAATGTGGCGGTGGTTGGGTAGTGGAGGTTGGCTGCTGGGGCTGGATCCCTTGGGGTGGGGAGGGTTCTCACCCACCCCACAGCCTGGTGTGGAGTCCAGTGGCATGGTTCTGGAAGCCTCATTTTATACTCCCATCTGGGAAGAGCATCCTGAGTTCTTGAGGGTGGCTTACGAAGAGATTATCTGGTGCCAGCAAGATGTGGCTTATGGGTGTGACCCCTGAGTCATCAGAGACAGGGGGAAGCAGGCAGAGGATCTCTATTCCAGGGTCCTGTTGAGTCCAGAGTCCATGGTCACGAAGTTCTGCATTACTGAGTTCCGTGGGACTTCATTCATTCATGAGGCTTGGCCTGAGTGTCTGGAAAGCAGCCTGGAGTGTGGTGGTGGTTGGGTAGTGGAGGTCAGCTGCTGGGGCTGGGTCCTTTGGGCTGGGGAGGGCTCTCAACCCCCCACATCTCTAAATAATAAGCCTTCTACTTGAAATTTTAAATATTTAGAGGGTTGGGAATTTGACTCAGATTTCGGGTACATGTCTTGCTGTGTGAAGCTCTAGGTTTGAGATTCCAAAATAAGAAAAATCTTTAAAAGTTATTGGGGGGGGGGCCTCTGGAGCAATAGCACAGCAGGTAGTGCGTTTTCCTTGAACGCAGCTGACCCAGGTTCCCAGCATCCCATATGGTTGCCTGAGAACTGCCAGGAGTAATTCCAGAGTACAGAGCCAGGAGTAACTCCTGTGCATTGCTGGGTGTGACCCAAAAAGAAAAAGAAAAGAAAAGTTATTTGGGGGGCTGGGGAGATTCCTCAAAGGGCTGAAACACAGCCTTGCATGTGGAAATCCTGAGTTTGATCCCTGGTACCACATGGCCACCTGGTGCTGCCAGGTGTGGTTCTGGTGGCCATTATCAGGGCTGTCACGGGAGGGTTCCTTGGGCCTTCTAAGAATTGCTCGGAAGACCCCAATAAACAAAAATCATTCCAGACTTTCTATTAAATTTCCTAGACCTTCTTTTATTTTTCTAAAGTTTAATTTAGCATATTTAAAAATCAGTAGAGATATTATAAGGATGCCTTGAGAATCTAAGGGGTTGTAGATATAATAAACCCTAAGAAGTTTTGAACATTGAGACTTCATGGTTAGCCAGATTTGATATTTTTTGCTTGTTTGGGGGCCACTCAGGGTTTATTCCTTGCTTTACACTCAGGGATCACTCCATGTGGGTTCAGGGAGACCGTATGTGGTACCAGGGATCAAACCCAGGCTCATCACATGCAAGGCAAATGCCCTACTCATTATACTAATGCTCCAACCCCAGATCAAATATTTTAAAAGTCATATTACATCTTCAACAAATGGCTCATTCCATTATGTGGTAAATTCGGTTCTAAGCATCAACTTCAATATAATACTTGTAGTTCTAACTTAGTCCACAGACATTTAAGTTTCTAAGAGGTAACCAGAATAAAAAGCACATTTGGTTTGGAGACTTTACCTGCCTCTTTATTTGGGAGATAACGAAGGAGCAGATTCGCTCCTAGTGTGGCCGTTTTTGCCCTTTCAACCATTATTAGTAACATTCCCTGTGGAAGGCAGAGTATTGTCCTTCCCCTTAAGATACTCACACTCAATCCCTAGCATCTGTGAATTTATTCTCTACAGGGTAGAAAAAACTTTCCAGATTACATTGTGGTTTGAAACTTGAAATATAGAAATTATTCTGGATTACCTTAGTGGGCCTTACATGCAATCGCATGAGCCCCTAAAATCAAAAAACCTTCTCAGCCATAGAAGAAGTGTAAGATAAAGGATTCAGTGTGTTATGACATTTGGGTGATAGAAGTGGAGATTCACATGTCACGAGTTCATATGGGTGGATAGCAGGAGACGATGCAAAAGGCAAGGAATGGGTCCTTCCCCAGAGACTCCTCAAATAGGTGTAGCCCTGATAAGATGACATGAGCATCAGGGAAAGCAAGTACCCTATCCACTGTACTATCTCTCTAGATTTTTGATATTAAGGAAAATAATTCTTGCTAATTCTTGGTTCAGATCCATGAACAATCCATAGACATTGCCAGCTGCATTGTTTTGTATATCCACCTGTTGAGAATATGCAGTTAGTATCAACTAAGAAATAGCTAGTACTTTTCAGGGGGTAGCTTGATAGAATAACAAATAAATTTGAATGATAGGGCGTTTGCCTTGCATGCAGTCAGCCCGGCCGAGCTGGGTTCAATTCCTCCGCCCCTCTTGGAGAGCCCAGCAAGCTACCAAGAATATCTCGCCCGCATGACGTATTTAATATGCCAAACACAGTAACAACAAGTCTCAAAATGGA